TTATCACAAGACCCTCTTTCTTATTATATGCAAAAATATTAGTTCTTAATAACTATTTTCCAATTCTCCCTCAAAAAAGGAAAAATCCAGAGAATTGTCTGCAGCTCAGGTAGGTGAAATTGCTGTAACTTTAAACAAATTATCTCCAGTTCCATAAATGTAAATATTTGGAAGACAAGAATCATCAGCAGTGTCTGCACATTCATGCTTACCCAAAGTTTTCAAATGGAGGAACCATGATATAAATGATATAGAAATAATTTAAAATGCAAATATTAATATTAATAGAAATATAAATATTAATAGAAATATTAGTAGAAATAATGTGCCTTGTAAATATGCCTTCAAGTTGAAAGGGAAAAAACCATCAAAATATGTGGCTGTTCTATGACAACAATGAATGCAACAGAAACTTAACTAGACAGCCTGGATGAAGGCACTAGTTCAGATTTATTAAAGCATCTGAACTGGCAATCTAATACATGATAAGACAACAGGATTTTGGAAATAAGGGTATAAACACAGGACTTCACCACCACTCTGTCTAATTATCTGACATTAAAGAAACAAGAGATCAGTTGTATACTGATCTAGTTTCTATTCTCATGAAATGAAGCTTCCACAAGTTTTCTTCATAAATCAAAACACCTTAGAAAGACAGAGCAGCATTTAGGAAAAAGAGACAATTGGATCCCATTGGAATTATGATCACTACCAACCCCACCAGCCTGCTTGCTTTATCTTGATCTTGTTTTCTACAAAAAGATTATCTTTTGCTCTTCCCTTCACTGTATGCTCTGAGGACAGAAGCTCCTCTACTGAGTCCAAAACACATCACAATACATCACTTAATAGCTGTACAATCTGGTGAGGAGTCCAAATTCCCCTGATCTCACTTATGTGACAAATCCCAGTGGTTTCTCTAGGTCTGTCAATGTAACTGCAAATTGAATATGCTTTGTCGTCACACCATGCTTTTAGTTCTACATTAGACTCTTTCTTCACCAGTTTCCCATATCTGTTGGTACTCTTTACTTGCTCATACTATGTTTTAACTCATGCAAAGCTCTTGATTCAAATTCTGCAGAAGGAATTAAAGGCTACCAGCACCAGTCTGTAAAGATGCACAGTATGCTCACTCTTCAAAAGGAGACCTCAAGCTTGTATGGCCTTTGTTCCATTCAGCTCTGAAATTTGTCTGGAATCCTGCAGAGTCCTCGTTCAGTTTCCATATCTGAGTCCAACTTTTGCTCATCTGGAAGCTACCCTCATTTTGCTGCTTTCTAAAAGATATTGGATCCAAACTCCTTGGAATGCAGCAGAGTTACTATGGAAGGCTTATCAATTAAAATATTGCATCAATTAAAATAGTGCATCATTTGGCTTCACATTTTTAACTCAATAATGAAAAATTATACAGTATCAGTTTAAAATTTAAAGTTTGGCTAACTCTGCTGTTGACCTTTTATCTTTTCTTCTATGAGGAGTCTTTACTGACCATCTCCATGGAGAAACTGAATGACAGAGATAAGAATCACACAACTGAAAGGCAAATGTCTAGACTTTGGCCCCAGTTTGTTTTATTTTAATACAGTTATTGCATAATTGTTTGCAAATATCTTTTCAGTTCTCACAGCTAAGATTTATATCACCCTGGAAGCTGGCATTCATGAGATACACAGTGCTCATAAAAACTGATAACAACATGAACAAAAAAAATGCTGGGGGAAAGATGATTTGTAGACACTATCTGAAACTATTGATTAATGTCTCTGTGTTGATACCCTAATATTCAAAAAATATGCAAATTTTGGACATTCATGAAATGGCAGGTTTATTTTTAAAGCAATAATAGTTTCTGTAAGGGGATTTAAAGCTCTTCTCTCTCACAGCTCACAGGCGAGCTCCTTTGCATGAGCCCCAGGAGGGGAGCAGAACAGTCTGGTGATGCTGAACAAAGTGTACTTTCTCTCCTTTCCAGATACAAGTAAGAATAAAGCAATTCATCCTCTCTACCTGCTGATTTGAAAAGCACTGGCTGCCTTTCAGTCCATGCAGAAGTACTGGCCCTTCCTCTGGATGTCAGACATGGAGTGTGTGCACCTTGGACTCAGAGGAGCTGGATGCCTGAGGCTTTGAGCAAATCCCTCTGTGGGCTTGTGTTTGAAAGGGCACCACACTGTTCTCAAGATAAGACTGCGAATAAACAGCTTGGATCTTTTGGCACCAGCAATGGCAAAGTGTTCCTAGTGTGGCCTTTTGAAGACAAGACAGTTTCTCCACAATGGGCTTTTGATCAAATTCTGTAGCTATTATGTGCAAAGTAAAACCATTAACTTGTTATTTTAGACTAATGTTAGAAGATTCCAGCTTTCACCTATGTCCATTTATGAGGTAATTTGTCAAGGTGAAAGCCATCGGGGTGAAATTAATTTTAGAAAAAGTCTAATAAACTTACAACCACATGTTTTACCAAGCTCAGATGGCCTGATGGCAATAAAATAAAATAAAAATGTGCCATGATTGGAAAGCTCTGCTACAATTTTAAGAACACCAGAGTGGGGAAATCCAAGATGCATCTCCCACAGCTGCAGGAGCTCAGCTCTGTTACATACAAGGGAGCACAACTCCCACTGAATTTAAGTGAGCTGCATTTTCCATCTCTGTCTGTGACAGGTCAGACTCCTGACTGGTGTAAATCAGCCTCTTCCATTAAATCCCATGACAAGCTGGAGTGATTTACCCCAGCAGAATACTTGGTCTGACCTCTTCCCTGTCCTGCAGCAATTGCATGAGCAGCTTATAATGGCTCTTGGAAACCAGCTTCATTTGTGTCTTCAGTTTCTAGGCAATTGTGGGGACCCTCTGCCCATGGAGGCAACGGAGCAACAGGTCTTGGAAGGGGAATAGAGGCAATTTGTGGCCCAGGTCTCTGCTCAGACCCAAGAGAAGTCCCATGCAGAGTATAGGAGTTCCTCAAAGAGCAAAGGCACTGCAAGACTAAACAAACAAACATGATACCCTCCACTCCCTCTACAGCTCTGTTTTCTGGCATTCAGATAAACAAATGGCTGCAAGAAAAGTGAAGCCATCTTTGCCATTCACAGTTTGCAGGTCCATAAATACAGTGCAGAGCCATTTGTAATGCACAAGCTGTTTTGGGTAATGAATCATTAACTGACAAAGTAAACACAGCATTACTATAAGTATGCTGGAAATGTTTTTGCTCATGTTCAGCATCCTTTGGGAACTTCTTGTACTTTGCTCAAGATTGCATCTCTGGAGGATTATTCTTCCCCCCTTAAAAATATTGGAAAAAAACCAGCCATTCATTTTGAAAGCTACACTTTATTGTGTAGCTGCTAGAAAGGAGAATGCTGTCCCTTTTCCTTCTTTCCATTTTCTTACATGTAAAGAGCAAACAGCAGCATTAGCACCAGAAATGCAACCACAATTAATTCCATCTCTCTGAGCATGAGTCACAGCCACTGGCAATGCTTGGTGGGAGCTCACATCCCCTGACATCACACGGGGATGAAGGGGATGTTGAGAGGGCTGCACTGTAAACGTGAACAAATCCTGGTCATGTGGCACTGGCTCCACTCTCAGGGCAGCCTTCTCTTCTGACTTGACTAAGTTTTGAGTTGACTTCAATAAGAGACGGATATGTTCATCCCCAGTCATCTTTTATCATTGTTACTGCTTTTTAATGAGGGGATGGGACCATCTTTGGGCTAACATCGATTTATTGCTCAGATAAACATCACTCTCAGAGGCTGTGAGATTTTAGAGCAAGCAGTTGGTTATAGCTCAAAACAGTCAAAAGTTCTTTGTTACAAGGCAATATAGAACTTTCTAATCTAATAGACAGTCCCACAGGGTGTATTTTGCTTTTCTAACCTATCACCTTTACTTATTTCTGCTGCACTGTAGATACTTTTACCCAATGGCTAATATCACACATACACACAAATTCTTCTGTTATAACTTCTAAACTCTTTGTTTATTCTACACAACCACTCTCTTACACTATAAACCCTTGACCATTTATCAATACAGTTTCTCACTCAAGGCATAATCTTTCTTACAACTATAGAAACAAAATTATATGATTTTTCTACTTAATGTAAGTATGCTTTATTTTTACATCCATCCAAACTCCTTCCAAGGCTGCAGATCAAACCCTCCTGCATCTGTAAGAGTTTCTGTCTTTCCATTTCCCACAATCTTTTGTGTTCTGTTACTACAAAGGGAAGTTTACATGTGCAACAAAATCAATTGCAAGGAAAAAAATATTCAGATTGTGACCAATATCTTCATGACTATACCCTACAGAGGCATCTTTTACTGTCCATGCTCATCCTGCTTTTTCCCCCAGTGTTTTTTGGCTGTTACCCAAGGTGTGTGCTTGCAGACATGAGTGACACATGAAAGCATATCATGAGCTGCCCCTGCTCTTGGCACAGCCCTCTCCTCCTGCCAAAAAAAGCTTCTGAGCTTTGACATGAAAGGTTATATATGAAGGCAAGGAAAAACAGAAAGGAAATCAAGCCCAGCAATCTTCCTCAGAGTATGTCACACAATTTTAAGTGCTATTTTTTATCACAGGGGTTTGTTTAAGTAGAGGGTTGGAAGAAGAGAGAGGGTAGAGAAGGGAAGCAGGGTTGTTTTGTTTTTTTTGGTGAAAGTTGCCTAATCAATCTCTTTCAGCTTGCAGAACAACATTCTTCACAACTGTACTGCAGCATCTGCCTGGAAGTGCAGGGGCAGTTCCCTTGAAACAAGTCCTTTAAGTATATTTTAAAAATATAATACTTGGTAATATCTAAGTGCTAAAGAGGATTAGGGCTGAATTTCTTTTTATACAATTAAATAAAAAAAAAATTCTGTAAAATAGATTTCCCCTTTTACATGGGAATGGGAGAAGTACATTTAAAAATTCCTCAAGTCTAAATTTTCTATAGAAAAATTACCTGATGGGTTACCTGGACAGTGCTGGCAGCTCATATCCAGAAAGCAATTACAGACAGACCTTCATTATTTCTTCCTGTGTTAAAAAACAAGGATTTTCTTAATTGGGCTTCCCATCCATCTCTTGCTTCTAAAGAACAACCTGATTATCAAATCTCTGCAGGGAATCAGGGCCATCTACTCAGACACCACCTGGAGCCCAAGTTCTGTTCACGAGGCTATATCACTACCATGAGCCATGCTATTAAAGCAAGTTATCAACTTACCTTTCACAGGTGTTTTCTTTGAGATTGTTAAATGGGGAATTATTTACTTCAATTCAAAGCCACCATGAGCCAGGAAAGAGTTACTAGAATGCTTTCTATTCCTGTAAGAAAAAGACATTATTTGGGATTACTTTTAACATGGTTCCAGTGGACTGACTCCAAAAATAGGAGGTAGCTGCAGCTGGTCTGCTTCTCCTCTCAGTTTGACCCTGAACCAGAAAACCTGTAACCAGGAGCAGTGATACAGCATCCAGCCCTTGTGGAGAGGTGCTGAGCACAGCTGTGCTGGGGACTCACCCAAAAACTGCCTGAAAAACACAGAGTGAAGGACGCACCAGCTCCATCACTCAGACCCAGCAGCTCAGAACCACCTGCAGCTCTGCAGATGCTTGAACAGAGCAGCAGTGCTGGGCAAGAGGAATTTTGTGGCTGTTCAGAAGCTTCTCTAAATCAGATGGAACTGTGAAGACTGAATTTTCCTTGACTTTTAAGGAAAGCCTGGGATAAGGTGCTCTACCTCTGCCATGTCACAGGAAAAGTTTTAGACTTCAATCTAAGAGTTTCTTAGAAGTTATAGCATTCTATCAGAGTACTTTACTAATAGAAAGCACTCCTGGTGCACTGACCAAGCAGCACAGCAACTCTCTAAAACAGAGAAGACATTTCTTTGCTCCTTTTGTGAAAATGGGGAGAGCTTGGAAAAGACATGTGCAGACTCTCTTGCTCCGTCAGCTAACAGAAAATAGAATTTCTGCCCGGGAATCTGCATTCCCCACTTACAGGAACAAAACAATGCACAACAATGACAAAGACGTTCATTGTACAACAGTAAAAATAATTGTGGAAAGTACAAGACTGGTTAACATTTGGCAACAGTAAATTAATGTTATTGTTTTAATTAGCTTCCTTTTCAGTTCATGAGTTGACTTCATAAAGCTGTTACTCTGTTTTGATAGGCAAAAACGTTCACGAATGCTCACATTCTGCAAAAGCAACAGAACATTAAAATCTTCTCTTAAAAAAAGATGGGTTTATTCATCTAGCTATAAACCAGCATATTAGTTTAAAAATAACCTAGGAAACTATGTCTTTCTGAATTGTGATTTTGCCAACACAAAGAAATAGCTCATATATTTATCTATCTTTACAGCCTGGTTATGGGAACTAGAAAAAGGAATGCAATGATAGGAACATTAACCTTTAACAATGGTTGAGCTATAAGCCACTCTTGTTCCAAGAGTCCAGTTGCACAATGGGCCTTTTTATGATAGTTTAAAATGTCTTTTCTGATAGCAGTGTTTATAGAATTAGCTTGAGATGACATCTTCTTTTCTATTTCTCAGGGCCCTAGTAAAGCAGGGGAAAGAATGTCTCTGCATGGGGAAAACCAGACAGGGGCGAGCTCCTTGGCTATCACAGAAATTATTTGCCCAGACATTTTGTCAAGGTTTCCACTGAGCAGGGCAGCATTCCCTGTCACCTCCTTCCTAAACACCAACACTCACTGCACAGCATTTGCTTCCCCACCCCTTGGGGCAGAAAGGAGCTCAGATATTTTTCCATCCCACTTCCCACTGCACTTTCCCCATTTGGCTCTTCATGAACCTTGCCCTTCACTTTTATCTCACTTCCTTTCCACATCCACTAAGAATTACAGAGCAAGCTCTGATTTGCCATCTTCCTTCTAAATACACACTATTTACATACTTTATAGGTGTTTTCACACATGGCAACCTGAAGAACTCATTGGTGAAGCAGCAGCTCTTCATTTCCAAAAGGCTGAGTTGCAAACACTTCAGGAGAAAAAAAAAATCTCTGCTTGTTGCAATGGGAAATGAAGCAAGTTGCATGAAGTTAAACAAAAAGAAATGGTATCAGTTATGCCGATTAAAATAATTCTTTGCATGTATGATAATTTTCATTCAGAAAAGTTAAAAAATTTGAAGACGTAAATTTTTCACATTTAGGCAGGTGGCATGATTGTATTTACAGATGAAGGCACATTTGAGATTAATTGCAAAAGTTTTCATTTTCTAATGTCTTTTGGTCATAGAATTTAGCTGGGAAAACCTGATGTGTCCACAGTTAGTGTTCACCTATCTAGCATATGAGTCAATGAAATCAAATGCTGGTTTTCAATTTAGCCATGCAATATTGCCTGCAAAAAAGCTCTTATTTTTAGTCCTGAAGACAGAACTTCTTTACCAAGCTACCAATGAAAAGCCCAATAAAGGAGAGAAGGTATGACACCTCCATTTGTTTTGGTTCAGAGCTGTGCTGCAGTTTTGAGCTAAATTCCCCAGTCATGGCCACTTGCTGAGTATTATTTGGAATTTCACAGAGTTATTTCACCACACATGGACTAAATTCCTTAGGAGGAAACTGAACATGGTTGCAGATGTGCACCAAATGTCCATGCCAGCTTCTACCAGGGACACAGGCCCTGGAGGAGACTGGTCCTCTGAACAGCTTCAAATGGAGCTGCTTTCTGCACAAAATCTTCAGATGCTCTTCTTTCTAACAAATCAAAATGTTTATACAAAAAAGCATCAATATGCTGGAGAGCTTCTTTCTCAGGATCAACTCTATAAGAAAAAGTGATTAATCACCTTGATTCCACACAGTCATTGAGCTCTGTAGACTCATATTACCAACAACCAAAAAGTCCTACCTTACAAAAGCATGTTATACAAAATAAATCAGTTTTTAATATAATACAGTAGCCAATATTAAAGGATGGATTTACCATATTCAAGGAGCATAGATAGATGTTTGGGATAGATGTTTACAAATCCAGAAAAAAACACTCTATATCTTGGATTTTGTCATTAATTTCTGTGACTTTGCACTAGGTATGCTAGCCAAGAAATATCAAGAAAGAACACAAATTCCCTTTAAATGTTACTGCGCTTTCACTGGTAATATCTTAAGTTGCATTTAGAAAATATTATTATAAAATCGTGTTCTACCTCTACACACTCCAAGGTCTCCTGTCCTTTTATTGGATTCAGCTGGCATGGCTTGGAATTTCTCACAGGAAGTCAGCTTTTGAAATAAACAATATCTCAAGTATTTCTTGATTTTTTGGCATCAAACATCATCTCTTTTGGTAACGTATCAAGTTCTACCAGGGGACATTTGACTACCCACTGGTCTTTTACCTAATTTGTACATTAAGATCCATATTTAATCTGGGCTGGAAGTGTGTCCACACTCCTAATATGACTGTAAAAAAAAAAAAATCAATCACATTTGCAGGTTTATAACCTGTCAAACAATTCACCTGAAAATCTGCCCAGGTGCCAAGATGATTTCTGCCTGTCAGCATTTTAAGCACATTCTAAAATAAGCATTTTAAACACATTCCAAGATAAAAATCCACTAAAATTATTAGCATAGTAGCAATGCACATTTACAGATATTGGAATATTACTATGACTCAAATTTTTCCTCCATGCAAATTTGTTTGAACAAATTTTACAAAGAAAAACCTCTCCATTTTGGTATCATTTGTGTTTCTTCTTGGGGACACACTGATACAGGACAGTCACTTAAGACTGTTGCATGCTGCAAGTTTGGTGCATTAACAAAACATCAAACTACACAAAATAAGCAAACTACACATCAATCTTTCTGCTGGTTGGTTGGGTTTGTTCATAGCTGTGCTTAAATTATTCTGTCTTTTTCAGCTAGGGCTATTTGCTGTGGCAGCAACACTTTTTTGAGCATTGCCATGATTGTACATCTATTTTGTCATTATTAATATTTTTATTTCTCAGTGGTTTCATAACTCATTAATAGAATAATATGGGATCTCTCTAGTGTACAAAATTATAGATATAATCAATATGTGTAGACATTAAATCCAAATTATTAGCTATTTAAAGTGTTTAAGAAAAAGGTAGGTTTCAGGATCAAGGCCTTTTGATTTATCATTGTATTTTTACCTTATCAAACTTCCAGGATGCTTCATGGTCCTGACCAATAGAGTTCTGGTGCTCAGCAGCCCCATGAAGTCTTAGACAAGCTGAACATCTTGCATCATTTCCCCCCCCTATCTGTAGCTTTCCAGTCTATGTTTTCAGGTTTAAATTTTGGCCCCAGGTGATACCAGCTGACTCTCAAGGAAAAATATGGTTCTTAAGTACAAAATGAAAAATTAAATAGCTCAATAGTCCCCTTTTTTTTGTTCCTATATTCATCTTTTCTTGATGGCTGGACTTTTTCAGTGGAATGTGTCCTGCAGTGGAATATGTTACCTAATGATCTTTGTTCTCCCTGTAGTCATCATAGGGTGCAGAAATTAATGACATTCATAACCATGTTGAGGTCTGTCAGCAGTAGCAAATCTGGACATTAATTTGGAGGTACATGACTCTTGTATAACTATATGGGACCAAAAGAAATTTGCAGCTGCTGGAAACCTGCATTTTAATATTTCAAACAAACTATTGTGCTGATTTTAGGGTTGAAAGAACAGTTGCAATCGTGAAAAATGTTCATAAAAGGTCACAAGGTATATTTTGCCAAACCATAATGTGGGTTTGACAAAGTGTTTAGCAGTGTCTTCTGTTTAATCACACTTTATATTATGCAGAATAGCTGTATTCAAAGACACTGGAAACCACACTGTAACTTGAATACTAGATCAAGTTATCATTTAGGGTATTCTGACTGTGAAATCAGACTTCCTCTTAGTTTTGACAACACTTAATTGGACTTGTTTTGGAATACATCAGTCCCTTCTCTCTCTTATGGTGAGGGAAAGCTGTGCTGAAAGAAAATAACCCACTTCCAAGCACAAATAAACAACCAACATGAGCTCCTCCTCACATGGACCTAAATAAATGATGCTGTGGTATTACAAGGTGCTGCTGTACAAGCCAGGAAAAGCCTGAAATAGTAAAGGGAGAGCCACACCATCCACTACACAAGCAGCCAAGCAAAGAGAAACTTCCTGCTGCTAAATCTTTCTCCGGTGAAGCTCTAAAATCAGGGCCAGTCCTGGTGACAGCTGCTTGGACAAGGCTCCTGTTGTCCTGCTCAAGTCAAAGTCAGCTTTATAAATTTGATGTATAATGTATTGAGCTGAACTGCTCGT